ACACTTCGTATGCTAAACTTTGTATTGTCGTTTATCTTTTTGACTTGAAACAGTCATGTTTTTTAATGAATATAAATTATCGTCATTGAAGATAAAAATAAGCAAATGTTAGGTGTGTGGGTAGATTTAAGTATTTAATTATTTAAATAGATATTTTTTAATTATAAGGCATAGCATTTAAAAATGTTCACTAGATTTTTTTAACCAAATGTACTTTTATCATTTTACGGATAATATTAATATTTTTTTATAAATGACCGCTTATAGATAAAGTCCTTTTAATGTTATGGTTGGGATTGAAATGGGGATCAACAATATTTTGAGGCATTGAACTTAAGGGAGTAACTTAAGCAAATCACTCATATAATGCTGATCTTGAATCAAATTCAGTCCAAATAACTAACAAACGTAATCTGAGATAACTAGTTCGTATTTCTGAGGGGCTCGGCAAGGTATGATAAGGGCTTTAAAAACGATAACAATAATAATATTTTTCTATAGAGGTTGTTTCTATATGCCTCAATAGCTGCAACCACACCAAGCGATCCATTTTGGATCAGGCGCGTTAAATCGTTTGGTGTGGATCCGGCTACTGATAAGCCTCACGATTTAGTTAGCTTTATCTGCACTCTTAACAACGTCATTCGCGTAGATATTGTATAAACTGTCGAATACTGCATCCACTTTGCGGTCAAAGCCACAGTTCAACAGACCGTTCAAAATAATCACTAACCGAGGAACTATTTGTGGTGTTGCTGTAACTCTTTATAGCTAAGACATTTTCAGATACGTTATTGTAATGTAAAATCAACCCTTAAAACTATTTAAACAAAGATCAAAATGGTATACACTCGAATTTCTTGAGTTAAAAGGGATGCAACTGGTTACATCCTTGTTCGTATTGACGTAAAGTTTTAAATGGTCGAACTCTGTATGATGTAGAGCTTTCGCGTATGACGTAAATGCGTTCGAGACTGGTGTGTTTATAAACGCACTCGAGAAAACGTGTTGCACTTAACAACCGAACGGTAACTAAATAAAGTCTCTCATAAAATTCGGTACACGCACCAGTATACCAGATTACGACAAAAAGTTAAACTTCAATATAATTGTAAAGACATAATGATCGAAAACCGATAAAACGATTGGAGAAATTACACAGTTTTATATAACATGATTTGATTTAACATTGTAATTCAATTGTACTTTTTTCTGGAAAGATTTAATTCGTTATGACTAGTTATACGAAATGATTATGAAAACAATATATTTATCCCCTATCTGTAATGTAATAGGAAACTTCATTCCTCTACGTCCACAAACAAACAACGCATTGCTTTAATATACATTTACTGTTTGTGCGAGATACAACCTGTTTGTTAAACCAAGGGAACTGCAGTGCTATTCTGTTATAAAAGCATCCTTAAACTCTCCATCGAGCGAAGCATTGTCGGAATATGGAGGTTAAATATACCATCTTCTCATGTGAGACATGGTAACTATGAAACTTACGTCCATCCTACTTGAATAGGATATAGGTAATAAACTAAGTCAATTGTATCTTTATATTTCTTAATCGAACATTAGATGGCGTTGTTGTGTTGACATATTTAATCTTCTACTCTATGCATCTGCTTCGTGAATATATCACAATGACGTCATGAATATGACGGACAGCATATTCGCGGGTTTTTTAAATTTAAATTTAAAGCAAGAAAACTTGTTTATTTTTCCAAAATTATTATTTTTTTTTTTTTATTAAAATAAACGGTTAAAATTATTATTTTAACAAGAGTAGAATACCCTTTTGAAATGAAATACCGCGCACGAGATAATAGCCTCTGATTTAGTTTCCTTTTATTTAGTCTTTTTTTATTATTTTACAAATTGTATACTGTATATTTTACGTCATACAGTACTAGTTGACTTAACAAACACAGTCTCGTGTTTTTTTTTCTCCAAATAAAATATTTAATATATATTCTACCACCCTGGAAACATAATTTCAAATTTATAAAATATTTTTTTAACTCGGTATAGTAGTTTAGAAATCAATACAAACAAACAAAAAACCTTTAAAATATTATCTATATACATAAAAATCAATTCTATCACCCCCTTATTATAGTACAGATGTCTATCGAAACTCACTGATCCGATAAATTTTAATGTAATATAAGATTTAGGCAGAAATTTCACGAATGAAGAGGGACAACGCTTTCAGCAGAAAATGGATTCTTAGAAAATTTGTACACAAAGAGAAACTTTAAGATTTACGACACAAACTTTAAATTATATTAAGATTGATACAAGAAGAGTAGACGTGGCGTTACACATCACGAATTATCATATTAAAAGTAATAAATAATCTTTATAAGAAGATATGAATTACTCACAACATTTTTTTTTTATTACAAATATAGTTAGTAGTTCCACAAATATTCATTCTCCAAAAAACGTAGTTCTCTACTTAAAAAAAAAAGAAATAGTTACATACATTAATCATTAACAAAATCAGATATTAATATGATAATTGTTCCTCAGGTACATACGTTGATAATTCATGTAATTGATTAATTAGTCTATTTCATAGATCATAAGTTTATCTAATATACAATAATAACATAAAACATACAACGAAGCATCACACGAACTAGCTGTTTAATGAGAAAAAACTCCATTTATCTCCGCTACTGAATCAGAACGGTTACACGACTTCTTCAGAGAATATTGATTCATATCCTATATGAAACGTGTTCTCGAAGACCATTATCTTTGATATAAGACTTGATTAAATTTATTGGTAACATCGTGTTAATATTATATAATACAAGCGAAAAGGGATATGAGCATGAATGTGCAAGGAAATTTAGAAGAGCATGACCGAAGGAAACATGGACAGGCAATCATCGCATATCACCTTTCATAAAAGTTGATATGCGTTAGAAGTAAACGTTGAGATGACGGCTGATCTACACTTATTGGAGAAGAATATCTATTGCGCTGACCCCAAATCAATAATTGGCAAAAAAAAAATACGAGTAAGATGCGGTAAACAAAAGCATTACAAGCATAGTGTAGACGACGAGGGCTCGCAGTAAAAAATAAAAGTCCGAAATATAAAAATTTTTAATCACTTTTGAAAAAGAGTATATAAAATAACAAACTAAAAACAAAAAGAAAAAACACCCGAGACGTCATTCGACTCGTGCTAACAATCCTCTATGCTATTATTTAAAAAAAATACATTTCAATATTCGCGTCGCTAACACATAGGTTATATAAGAGCCTTGGAGCAACTTTTTTGACTCAAGACTGCATTTTGTAATGAAGAGCTAAGGCAGAGAGTTGACACGAGAGATAGTGACAGTATAAAAATAAAAAAAGACATGCTCCTTTTGAAAAAATGTTGGATAAAAGACATATCAAGAACCGATATGCAACACGAAAGTGAAAAGAATGAAGAAGCAGAGGATGGCAAGACACATTTTTTGGGATGAAATCGATCGCGTGCTATCCGATTGTGATGTCAAAAGCTATAAAACCCGGAGAGGTTTTATGTAAAAAAGTAACGAATGTTGAGGAGGTGAAAGATGTGTGTTGATTGAGATCGTGTTGAGGCATTTGGTCTCCTCGACCTAGGAACGCCCTGCCTCACAAGGGATTTTTTGAATCGTTATGATGTAGACGGCAGTTCAGTAATATCATGATAATTGTTTTTATCATTAAAATAACACTGAAAAACTCTAGTTATTACGTAGGTCGATTATCATAATCTCCATTATAGAGGTTTATATTATACTCTTTATCTTAGCATTGTTTAAATGTTGCCACGCAACAAACTCGCCCCTATCGTATTATCGGTTTGTGTTTCACCAACAATGTTCAATATCTAGATTCGAGATTAACCGCATAACGTCTGCACGCTGACAGTCGCATAATTTGATTTGTTAGTGGATCGACATCGGAATAATAGGTCAACGTATAACAAAGGCGCAATGTGGTTCATGTCGTAATCTAATCGAGCGCATGTTCAAAGACAATTGAAATTAAGCTACTTATTTTAGATTCTAACTATTGTAATGATTCTATTTTTGTTTAAAAATAGAAATATAGAACAACAAAAAATGAGAGGTTATAACTTTTTTCAATTGAACTACAGTTTGTGATTAAGTATAAAACTGCAAGCATAGAATCTTTATCATTATTTTCATATATTTAATGTTATTTAACAGATGGAAGGGGGCTTCCTTTTTATAAACTAAAACTACGGAACGAATGTTCATACGGTTTTTACCAATGGAGTAGTCCACGAACAAACAATAGTCTTGTGAAGTACATGCTGTTTTAAAAACAATGAAGGATAACAAATAAATAAATTGAGATTAATATATTAATTGAAGATGTCATAAAAGATCATACAGATTGTGATATTACTGCATGTAAATTGGACATCGCTTGTTCAAAATACCTTTGACAGTTAGGTACAGAAATGGACATTTACAGATTTTTTGCAGGTTCTTCTCAGTGTAAGGCATTAAAGTCATTGATTTACGAACTGATCGATTATTTTTTCCACTTTCTTCTAGTCTAGTTTAGATTAGATTGCGCACGTTTGTCCTACTCTATGGAATTCAAAAATAACAAGTTGGGAATAGAATAAGTTCCAAGATAAAACTAATACCAATCATATGAGTACAAAGACACACGTACGTGCCTAAAGAAAAATAATGTCGTTAGCATATCCAATTAAAAACAAAACATAATCATATTGAGGTCAAATAGAAAAACAATCACAGTGACACAAATTCGGTTCAAAAATCCTTATTCTGACATAGAAATGAAGAGAAAAAAAGTCTTAAGCAGAATGCATCGGAGTTAGACAGATTTAGACGGTGTTCCCCGAACTATGTTACACACCTCGAAATACTGGCGACGATTAAGTGGAAGTCGCTGAGGAAGCGCACTCCCATCTCGGTGTTACTATAAATATGAAACTGAAACAATCCCGCCTTCAGTCGCACAGGAGAGCCCGAGGCGAGAACCGTGCCAAATCGCACTACTCCCGAAAAATAACGTGCTCGAAAAGCAGTGAAATTAAAAAAAAGTTTTAGTGGTTTTGTGAACTGTTCTTTGAAAGAGTGCAAGATGTTGGACAAGTCCATACTCGGTGGTAGCTGGGAAAGCGTGGTGGGTTTTATTTTATTTATAATAAAAACAATTTTATTACGCCAATTAATTAACGGGACTACAGTTGCTAAAATAACAAAGTCCATTGTCCTCGCCATGAGTAAAGATAAACGGACTCATAATTGAAATAGTGATTAGTGTGGAGTATTCATAAGCGTGCGAAACTCATAAAGTGTCCAAACGAGCCGTATTTTATGTTACGGAACCTGACCATCAAATATTACGCAGTGTTTAGTAAATACACTTCTCTATGCAGCAGCTGACTTCTTATGGTCGCTGTCATATAACTGCAGCGCGTGCTTGCATTTAAAATTCAAATGTTTGAATATGGAACCGCCTTTTCTGTGACTTCAAAAGCTCTTGACATTGCCACAGATTCGTTCCACGGTCTTTGCATCATCACAGATTAGTTAAGACTCGTGGTTGATTGGAATAATTGATAGCACAAGATCGGTAATCTAAATGGTCTTGATTGTGTGCGGTGAATACAAAAGGTTAACAGTTACTAGTTCGAATATCAATAGGCTGATCGTATAATCTTTGACGCAACACATAATTACAACCTTGACATAGGATTAGCTACTAAAAGTTAGAAAATAGTATTTTCTTATAATAAATCTTAACGATTATTTGCATTTCAACATGCTTTTCAACTGTGAAGGTCATGTAAGAAGAGTGCACTTATGAAATTAGAAAGCGCTCGTACTCAATATATCAAAAGCCATCATAGCAGCTGTCAAAAGCGAAGTGTCGATTGTTGATGTGCCGGTCGTTGCCTACCGGTTTTCGCGTGTTCTTTATTTGAATACGCCAACATGCCGTATCGCGAACTTTCACCAACTAATCTTGATACTTTTAAATAATTGGCCATTTCAAAAGACACGTATGATTGATGCAAATTTTATGTAACAATAAATTCTTGTTGATGAATATGCTATTTTCACAGTTTATTAATTATTTAAATACGTTTGACGACTGCGTGTGATTAAAATTGTGCAAATCTTTTACTTAATTATGTTTATTTTTTATAATATCCTAATGACATTAATTATTTAAAATTTAATACTGTTTATTGGTAAACACCTTACTTCAGAACGTTTGTCTAGAATTAAAATTTTATTATACTTTTAATATATTTTTAGCAAAAGTAAAATATTGAATATTCGAGTGATTTCAATAGAAAAAGCTCACAGAAAATAATAGTTTTATGAAATATTATTGTAAGAGACCTTAATTACAGCCTACACTTAACAAAAAAAAAAACAGTTCCATTTTCAAATTTTCGTATCGTGAGCATTCAATAATTTAAATGCATAGAGTTTCTTCAGTTATAATGTGAATTACAGCAAAGAGGACGAAAACGTTTTACCTAAACTGGGTAGAAAGAAAGGTCTTAAAAGTTTATGTAAACCAAAGCGACCGCAGCCAAGTTCGGTGCACAAAAACGGTCGGTGGCGTAACATTCTCTAATGGCTGTCACTCGGCGGCAGTTATTCCGGTTTATGATTTCGAAAGCGGTCCCGAATATCTGATAAAGACGAATGACGTTTTCAAAGTTAACAACGGGTGACTGATCTGTGATTAAAATTAGAAATATTCATGAAATACCTATATTATCTATACTAATAAATATATATATATAAAGCGTTAAAGCTTCTAAAGTTCTAATCTTGCTTGTTAGAAGTAGTAATACAGATGCTTACATAAAATTATTTACATCATACGCTGGTATGTCACCATAATTTATGTGTTATTTAATATTTGTCGCTAATAACAGCTAGTACAACATACATTATATAATTAATTAAGTCTCAATATCATTAAATCTGCAAATAATTTAATATACGACTTCCGACGTTTTTCTTCAAATACAAATCTCGCCGCATAAATTTGAAACTTGCTAAAATTTATAGCCGATATTAGCGTATTTAAAGTTAATTTGTCCATTTTCGAAAGGCTTTTTATAATTTGCCGACATTTAAATTCATCCGTCTCTCATAACATCCTAATTTTAATGTTTTAAAAACGAGTCCTAATAAATAATAAACATGTAATAAGGATGTGTAGTGAAATAAATTTATTGCATAATATTTCACAGTATCTCATACATAAGTTCATTAGCCCAAGAATACAACGGTGTTAAACCTAAAAACTATGTAAACTGAGTCATTGATAAAATTGAGATGTTAGTAAAGTATGCGCGTGGGCACACTTTAGTCACAAAGTTCCTTCCTACATGTCATAGCACATAAAAAACGTAACCGACTATATTTGAATTATCAGAGATACAATGCAATTTACGATTCAATCGGTTATCGACCTCCAAACACCAGTCGAGCGTATTATTCAAATATAGAATTCTATATTTAAACTGAAGAGAATAGACTAGACATTAATAACATAACGTAAAAAATATGGCGATGCGAATCTGCCTGCATGATGATTATGAAATTTATTTAATGTGGTGTAGTAAAAATTTAAAAAAAGATTTATGTTTTCAGAAGTCTTGGATATTACAGTATATTTTATGTCCATTTATCATCATTAATATTAAAGATTCAAAGTGTGCCGTTGTAAAATTAATAAGAAAATATTAATTTCGAAGGATTTTTTAATAATAAGATGTATGATCAATACCTCTTAATTCGAATTACAAAAACTTATGCAAATTTTTGAGACGTTATTTTTTTACATAAAAACGACACTGTAATAGAAACAAAATATTACAATCAAAACTAAACCCAAGCGTTATGAAAATAGCAAATCAAATTCCCATGAAAGTATATCACATAAATCAAATACTTGCAATAAACGTTGACTCCTGCGACCTTACCTGATCTCTAGGTTATACACTAAGCTTATTCCAAGAAGTTCTAAATTTGAGAATAGACAATAATAGAATTGCATTGAGATCTTTAAGCATTGTCGAAAATAACCTGTGACAATTTTAAATGTTGTTATCACCTTCAGTACCATAATAAAGTACCGAAATAACCCAAAGTATGCATCTCCCAAGACCGAAATACTATACCCGTTTAACAGAACATTACAACATGGAACTGTGAAATGGGACGCGTGACGACGAAAGAATAGTATGGACTCACCGCTACGCACTGGCCGACAGAAAGTGAACACATTTACCTGAAAAAGAAATAAACAAATACAATGTTAAAACAGTATTTAAATTTCACTCTCCACATTCACACGACTTATTCTAACGTTTTAATTAGACCGTGTTAACTAACTCCGCTAATAGAATCGACCATTCCAAGTGACCTATTTTCGTGGGCGACCCCAATTTTACTATTGGTTCGTTATTTTTTTTAACGTATTCACATTAAAAAATAATGTTACACAATCCCAACTGTCAAAACACAACGCGAAAACATATTTGACGTGTCAGTAACAAAAGACGTTGATATATTTCGTCGCTATAAACTTCGCAACTTTTAAGTTCGAGAATTGAATAAACCATAAATTTCCAAATATCGAAAATACACAGAAAGTTACTTTAAAAAAACACAAATACAAGCAAAAATTAATAAAATGCAATAAGAAAGATGTTTTCATTTATTAATTTGACATTTTGTTTTGATTAAAATTCAATTTGGTGAACCTTGGCCGACTTTCTCGCAACGTTCTTAAATAACAGCCAACTGAATTGATTGTTTTGATTACTGCTATGTCTATATTTACATTGGTAATTTTTACTTATTTTCATTAATGTAAAATATTATATTTTTAATTAAAAATAACATTGACTTAGAATTCACTTTAAATATTTCTGCTGTTAGAGTTAGACGAAGTCAGGTCCACAATATTCGAACATCTCAGCTCCACAGTTCTCTAATGGAGTCCGATAATAAATGTGTCAGAAATAGGTTCAGCGTGACCTATTATTTGACCAGCTTCATAGTAGAAAATATCAAGAAAAACACATAAAAATATTGCACAACGCAAACGAAGTAACGGACTCAGTAGAAATATAACAGTTTTGATGTTACGCAACCTCTGAACAACTGAAACACTTCAATTTGAAAGCTTTCAGCTATTCAGTGGGATTTATAAAAGAGGCCCTTCGTTTTAAAAGATGAATAGCAGACATTTTTCTGGCCCTCATCTGACTTGTTTACGATATGACTTCTTAATCTCGACTCGAATTAATGGTGACAGTTATATTGAAATGAACGCTCCAGCGACCCACATATAATTCCTTTGACATGGGAACTTTAAGGTAGAAATATCTTTTAATAGAAAAAATATTTATTGTTGGTCGGCAGCTCGATCGAAATGTTAAATTAATAGAAAAATAAACACAACGCGATAATAAGCGTATTGGTTCACGGAAAACAAGTTTTACACTATACAAATTATAGTTAGCAATTACTCTTCTTTCAGTATAAACTTCCTAGACAGTTCATGGTTAAGATGTGTGAAATATACCATCAGAATTAATGTTACGGCTGTGCGTGGCAGGTGGCTTTAAACATTTTGAACTGCGTAGGGTTCATATTTAAGATAAAAGGACAGCCATTACGGTAACATTACCCTACGGTAACATTATAAGAAAAAACTTCTATTCTATTTATTTACAATAATAGCCTTTATAACTAACGAAGATCCGGCCGTAGTTTACGCAGCCAATCCATTTACTTATGAATTTATTATCGCTTTTCAGGTGTCGAGAGACGACTACGAGATCGATTACAGCCCAAGTTCAAGGGGTTCACCCTTTAAGGACACCTCCAATATCCAGGACGAACAGCAGTACTATATAAGCCGTCACAACCCAAACAAAACCTTCCGTCGGGAATCCGTAATAGCATCCTGGAAGAATTTGAAAAAGGAGCGGGAACTGGCTTTAGGGAAGCGCTTCATTTACGTGGACGCTGACAAGTACCAAGATTACTACGGCAGGAACAAGGTGAAGAGATGTAAAAGCGATAGGACGGCTAACGTTGCTAAGGTACCGAAGAAAGTCAAGAGAACGTACTCTGTACTGTACAGATATGACCCTAGCGAGGAGAAAGTCATCAAAGAGTACAAGTATAAGGTGCCGAAGGAGCTGGAGCAGGAGAACCTGTACTTCAGTGCGCCCCTACAGAAATCCCACTCGGAACCTTTTCTACGGCCAGAACCAGCCCCCAAGAAGAAAGTCAAGAGGTCCTTCACGACCCTCTTGAATATCAAAACTAAATTCTTCAATATTTTCTCGTCGAAAAGTTAAACACTTTAAGTTACTTTAAGGGAATAATTTGCTCAATTTACGCATTTTGGCGTGACGGGATCAAATTTTGTAAACGCCAGGTCTAGTCAAAATTATTGTAAATAATGTTCTAAAAAGAACAATGATATATTCATCAAAGATTAATCAAATATACACTCATTTTACTAAAAGAAAGCAAGTTTACAAAGATAAACAAACAGTGGCACCTTTATCTGCAAATCATAAAAATCAACAAATTTAAAAAAAAAATGAAATTTTTCAACAATCGTACCAATTGTATTTCATATCATATCAATAAGTATAATATTAGTTAGTAACTTTGTGATATTAAGTGTGTTGTGATTTATGATAATATTCAATTGTCACGTTGTGGTTTCATAAATGTATTTAAGTAATACATTTACAGTAAACGTAACAGCATTATTATAAAGTTTGTGAATTTCTGATGAAATGTCAGAATTAAAATTTTCAAAAACGCTTTATTTTGAATTGTAATTCATTTGTAGTAATTATTCATTTTTCTTTCGAAATATGAAATAATTACGGATATTTATTAGTACTATAAATTGACTTTTCTCAGTTTAGTTTCTAATCAATTTCTTCTTAAATGAGGAAATATAAAAAAACAATACTATAAATAAATAATAATACTTGTATTACAAATTATTTATCTTCTGTACTATTTGCTTACAAAATTGTTCTTATTTAAACAAAATAAGGATAAATTTGCCGCTAAGTAAAATATGTTAAGTCCTGAGAATAACAATAATTTAGAACTAAATACAAAATGTTCAAATATAATAATATATTAGTTGTAATTGTTTGTATTTGATAATAAATACAAATTAATTACCCATCAGATAAAAGAGGAGATACAAACATTAAGTATTAGTATTGTTTTTATAGCAATGGTTTCCATTCCTATCGCGTAAGATAATAATTTTAAGTTTAGATATTAAGTGGAAATGTTAACCATTATAGTTTACTCCTTTATTGTGCTATAATACAAATAATAGATTATATTATATAAATAAAATAGATATTCACAATAGATTAACAGTAAACAATTTATAATTTTTCAATTAATTACAATAAACAATTATATTCGACTATGTATAAATCACAAAGGTGTTTTATTTTAAACTTATTTATGTCTACGATACAGTCCTTATTTAAGAAATCACGCTTACTGTTCAAAAAGCTTAAATATTTGTATAAAAAGAAATAACATGTCATAAGTACTTCATAGTGGCAGTATGAAGTCTTTATAAATGTAAAAATTTAATTACATTAGATTACAAATTAAATAATTCGATGTTGGTATTTGTTAAAGTTTTTTACTGTCCATAGATGACACTAGTGGTGACACTGGAAGATTACATTTATTAAATATTAATGATAAATGACAACGTCCTTATTCTTTTCCTCCTAATTCTTGGTAATAATGAGCAAGAGAGATAATATTATCAATGTTCATTTTAATACATAAATTTGCATTATTTTAGTTTATATGTGCTTAATTTTATTTAAAATACAGATCAAATAGAAATGAAACAATTTTCGATTCACACAAATAAAGTTATTTTATTAAGGTGCCACATTTTTAGTCGATTATATTAATTATTATCAATCAAGAAATTTTCACTCATAATAAAAGTATAAACATCATGTCCATACAGACACTAATCCCATCTTTCATTTAAATCTAATTACACTGTGACCTTAAATCTTGATGCTTTTTCTATCTTCCAATAGGTGGCGCTGGGTTCATTGTATATTTTTATCTTTTTTACATCAACACCATCTAGTGATTATCAAGTAGATTTTTAGGTAACAGAAGATATACCGACCCGGGTTTGAATAAATGTTTGGAGCTTTTATATATTAGTACGTTATTATTTTGTCATTTCTGTACCGATTCTTTACATCTAAATGAGAACTACTATTTCCCTTTGTTTCGTAAATACATTCGATGGAAGAAGTTATAAGGAAGATAAATGTAAAGTTAAATAGTTCTCTTTTTTGCTTCCAGATTAGCTTTAAAATTTGCTAAAAGTTTAGTAACTATAAAATATCTACACTGGATTTTCAACATTAATTACTTATCATTCGTGTTATATTTCAAGGTTTCTATAAAGTCAAGGTGACTGTGTCATGCACGAACGACCGTCCCTAACAAAATTTAACAAAGGCTATATTCAAAACCTTTAGACCTTCTTAGAAATCTGAACACCTACTGCCTAATTTACAAATTTATTTTCAACGCCCTCTGTTGGCTTGTTTAATGAGCTTAAAATATAGAAACAAAGGTTCATGTCTTGAAACATTAACAAAGGAAATTCTTACATAAATTATAACCGCGTCTGTCTGTCTGGCCGAGACATCATCAAAATAATTCTTTATTATACAAATTATATTAGTAAGTATAAATTGAAATGAATGTGTGTGAAGATAAGTAACCAAAGTGTGAAAATGGACTGAGAAATTTACAGTAACAGTTTCAAGGTAATTAAATGATATAAATTTTTGTAGCTTGCTCAATTGGTCATATGTCTGTCTCATTACTCTAATGATTTCTTGTTTTCTCTTCAAAACAGCTCCTAAAGTTAAGTGCACACTAGTCAACTTTTGTCCCTAGACATGCTGTTTCTGTCACAGTGCTCTCTACCTTTCTATGGAAGTCATCTAATTTGCACATGTACAAGTTAGCGCACCATCATCGCAAGGATTCTCCTGCATGGTGACAGCAAACAAAAACGCGCGAAATATTTTATGCGATAAAGATAACGGTCTACGTAGATGAAATCAGCTGATTGTCTCTTTCCAAAGATGACTGTGTATGATTCATCTTATAGTACTGTAATGCAGAAAGCAAAATCAGGTCGGGTCACTAGTCAATATAAAACCGCGCCATTAAGCCCTCCCTATTGTTTTGTTCTCTCGATAGCTAGCCGTGAAACCCCAACAGCACCTTATTAGGGGGTTCCGTCCGTCTCATTGTTTATTCCTGCGTTAGCGAACCGTGTCCGAGCCTCGGGCGAAACTCCGTTTCAAAGTCTCAACCTAATTCAGACCTTATGTTACGACATACAAGCTGTAAAATTGCTCAGACCTCAGTCAATTATTTGCATTAATTTAACTATTTTACACGTTTCTTGAGAGAGAATACTTGAAAAATAAATTAAGATTTTATTTAGAAAATATAAAATATAACAATTATTATGGAAGATTTGAATAGGTATACATTCACTAGCTAGACAATTACCGTTAACATCAGCCTCAGACTAATTTGCTCCCTACATGGCACATTCCCGATGCAGCAGGCTAAGTAGACCGAATCGTTTGTTTGCGCGCCTAATACGTTCATAGCACGGTCATGATATGGCTCGGCTTAATAGAAAAAATCCTTTAAAAATAGTAATATATTTACAGTTCAAATCAAGCTTAACTGATGTTTAGTATTTGGGTATGGTTCTCAACTTAATAACCAATTATGACAATACCTTAATTAAGATATCAAATTCTGAATGATATCTTGAATTTCTGATGTTCAGTTTAATTCTATGAAATCGGAATCTCGATCGCGTCTTATATAAAAAAGCCAATGCGACCTTCGTCATGGCGCGTCGAAAGGCCCTTCCAATTCCTATGTCACGGTCGCACCTTGAACTTAACCTAAGCCTTACAGCGTTTTGCAACTTAAAAAAGTCAACGCATTGTGTTTAGAATTCATTACGATGACTCGAGTTATTTTTTGTGGAATAAAAATCCTTTATATACTTTTTGGTGTTAATTTTAAGTTGTATATTAAATGATTAGTTGCTCTTCTGAAACTCGTGTAGCCTTGAAATGATGTGAAATAAAAATATACCCAATGTTACTCAACGACAATGTTGCTTTATATCGAAAAAAGATTTTCTGAAATTGGTCCAGCAGTTGAGTTTATTAATTACAACTAAAAAAACTTTTACCTTTTTTATAACAAAAGTGTGGATTAATCTTCAATAATTCTGTATGTATATTCTCTTTGTTGCGCTACCGTCTTTGGTTTGTCACCCTTACTGGTCGGCTGAGATTGCCGCCAGTTAAGTCCGCCCTTTCTATGCTTATTTTTTTACAATAAAGATTAACTCATATAAAAATAGGTTTCCTATCAATTTCAATAATATAGGGTATATTATTGAAATTGATAGGAAACCTATTTTTAAACCTAGTTAACTTAATTTACCATAAGAAGTGAAAATATATTGAGTGGCGATCTGAATAAGAAAATAAATCTATTACCATACAAATTATTTTGATGTTTGATATTTTGGAAGATATCAAGGTTTCATTGGTCAGTTTATTATATTCTGTACTAGCTTTGTATTTTTATATTATAGCTTGCATTATACATAAAAACCATCCTTTCGAATCACCCTATCTAAGAAAAAAAACCGCATCAAAATCCGTTGCGTAGTTTTAAAGATTTAAGCATACGTAGGGATATAGGGTCAGAGAAAGCAACTTCGTTTTATACTATGAAGTGATATTATCTAATTGTTTTGGAGAGTAGTAATGACGAATTAAGTTTTAACGACAAATAAATTAAATGCACCAAACTGCCTTTTCCTTCATTTAAAATAATGAAATATACTCAAAGAAAATACACTACCAGTAACATATAGCAGAGAATATTTTCATAATTTAATTTTGGTACAGCATCTCAACAGAAAGTGTACTCACAAGCGAGCATTCACTCACAATAAGCGAAAGTAGTTCCAACCAACGACAACTAGTAATATGATTTTTCTCCATTCCTAGAAACTTAGCATTTAAATATACACGTGTGCTAGAAAGGGAAATACGTATGTATGTATAATATATACTCTAACTCTATTGGTCGCTTCATGTCGCACGCTAGAAATTTCGTATTCTAACAAAATCTACACGAGCGTAAGAACTTTTTGAGGTACATTATAAAAGTATATTCAGTACAACATTGCCCGCGTGGTTTATATGTTTCCTTGACTTATCCTTATTCCTAGGTAGTCACTTACATACATGTCAAGCGGCGGGGAAGTGCATAAAGCATTCCCCTACGTTAAAAAAGGTCACAATCTAGTGGGATAAAAACTGAGAACATGCTCCGTTTTCTTAATTATGATAATCCAGGCATAGAATTATCCATATACCAGATTTAATCAAAATCCGTTCATATTATTAGAAGCATTATTAGAAGCATATTACACTGGGATTATTCTTTAATATTATAATTTTGCATATGTAGCAAAGTTTATTAAAATATATATTATAGATACTTGTTTAGATATATTTTTGGGGTCGGTGCAAGTCTCACGCAAGTATGAGTTCTGCAGTCAACACCGTCATTCTAATTCTGCAATGTGTTATCAATAGCACAAGCGGAGACATCCTGTATTCTGCCATCCGAAGCGGAAACAATGTAATAAAAATAGGTCCAATTAGGAAGGTATATTTTTTTTTTCTCCAAAATCATGTTAGTACTCTTATAACTGGAGTAATTAATACTCTTAATCCTGAAAAATAATGTCCCGAGACTTTGCAATATTACTATCTCAGCAGCGTGGTCTGGGTTAAACTATAGTCATAGATAAAACTTCCTACATCACGACTGACACGTAATCCGAGTCTATTATTATACACGCAAGTTACCAGTACACAAATTAAGTTTAATTACATCGTAGGATAACGGCCTTATTACTACTCGTATTAACGTTGGCATTGACTTCGATTGTGAATAAGAAAAAAAAAATAAAATTGGAACCTTGCGCGGTGCACGGATCGTGGTCGTTGACTGTGCGGTGCTGAAAATCGGCCTTGCGTTTATAGTAACCCAAGGAGATTTAAGAATAAAGTATTTCATTAATTTTATTACTATTGAAGCGCTCGATGGCATTTTGAGGGATTACGGAGCTTTTCTATAAGCGATTGCAAGGTTACAATAAGATAAAATAGCGGAGGGATATTCATATTCATATTTTCTCAACTAAAAACATACGATAAGTTTTAGGGAGATAACAATCAAATTTCACGCGGGCGGAAATCTAGTATAATATATAAACTCATATATCCACCGACCTCCATTACCGAGTGACTCGCACAGAAATATGTCGCTATCACTGAGCTCCCTGGTTCTATTCTCGGTCTGGTCAATATAGAAAACGAACATTTCTTTATTGTCTCAAGTTTGAATCTTGTGTTCATTTAAGATAAATAGTTGATGGAAATTGCTACTTTAGCAATAAGCCGCCATTTGCGTCCATGTTACTTATAATATGTGCTACTATGTCAATGTTTACTGCGTGCAGTAAAGTATATATTAATTCAATAATTTGTTCAACTCCATCAATATTGCATTTAAGAATCATCTAGCAAGTCTTCAAGGTTGGATTCATATAATATTTGTCAGTTTTCCCGTTCCGCAATCGATACGCGAAGGATCTTTCGTCAAATATGCACCGTTCCTTATTTGTTCAATTTTTTATACCACTTCCGATAAACAAAGCAATCACTCAGAAAGTATTAGTATTTTCGCGAATATCGCAAAATTTAAAAGGCATTTATATCATAAAATTCGATTATAAACTATCACTAAATTTAGATTAATTGTCTATCATATAACATATTAAGAAAAAACTAGTTCCTTGATTTGGTTATAGATTAATTATGAAAACATGTTTACGTGTTACAGTTAACCGATGGTGCGAATCGACACGAATATAAAACGATTAATTTAATTTCCAATTTAGCTACAAAATAATTTTTAAATTTCAGCTACTAACTAATATATGCAATTATTTTTCTTCTTTACGATAACAGTATATATTATATTTTCAAAATGGCTTGTATGAGTAATAACAACATAAATAAGAAAATCGGTCAAGTGCGAATCATACTCGCGCACGAAGGGTTCCGTACCGAAAACGAGCAAAAT